ATGCTAGCAGATGCTAGGAAAGCCCAAACCCAGCTTGCCCTTAAGCCAATAATGGGCATAACAAAGATCTAAACCCAAACTCTTATGCCCTCTAATATGGGATCTTCAGTGTTGCCCAACAGCCCCACAGGCAAGTCTGAGGACTCCGCACATTTTATAACCCGCCAGCGAAGCCCCGCGAATATGAAGCCAAGGAGCTTTTCAGACCTCGAGCATCCAGCTGGGCCCAGTTGTCTGCACAGGCAATGCGGGTCAATGGCTTTCGAGGGGAAGGGCAGAGCACACGACACATGCGTGAGGGTTCAAGGTTTCAGGCTTGTTCTTCTTCTTTCAGGGGTACCCGGCAGTTGCAATAGGCCTGGCTGCAAAAGGCTTGTTCTTCTTGATGTCTAAGTTTAAAGTGTTGTGGGGCGCGCAGACTGTTCAAGCTAATGTTGCTGTGTGCTTGCGACTGCTTGCGCCGGTCGAATGCCAGGTAAGACGGTATGCTGCTCAGTTTGGCGAGTGCTACCACCACCCTGACTACTCTGTATGCGGAACTCGAGGCCCTGATCCCGAACAATAACCTCTAACACCGCACACGCAACACCCTGGATGCTTCGTTTTGATTCGATGCTTGGAGAGGCTGGGCGCTTCATGGAGCAAGTTGCCTCCTGGAAGATTCAGTTCAGCGTGGAGTCTCCATGAATGCATGTCGATGGGTCTTGTGTAATCTTCCAAGGTTCAACCCTTTTCATGGGTGTCGAGCCTCTGCGCTTGTTTTCAGGGAGGGCTCCGAATCTAAGAGTTCGTGGCAGGCATTAAACCCAAACAAGGCGAAAGGAAATAAGTTCCTTCCAAAAGATCAGGGGGAATGTTTTACAGGGCCCGGGATTTATAAGGGCTCTATAGGTCTTAAGGTTTATAAGGCCTGATAGGCTTTTCGAGGGCTAAGGTTCACAGGGGGTGAAGCAAAGCGAATTCAGGCATGGCTCCTTCTAGACAGCCCGCGGAGCTCGCGGGAGGCCGCTGACGAGTTAGAGGCCCTCCGCACATCATCTCACTGCGATTGAGGGCACAGTGAAGAGGCTGAAGGCTACAATTCTTGCGGTCTTAGGCGTGAAGGAATACAGGATGATGTCAATCAGCAGTAGGTCAGTAGGTATCTTGAGCTACCTACACAGTCCTCGAAAAAACTCCCATGCTCGAAGTGCGGGGCTCAGTCTGAGCATATGCCCCTTTGCGCCGTTGCCAGGCGGTCCCTCCGGCCGATGCAGGCGCGTGGGCAGACAAGCCAATCGAGAGGTGAGCATTACGCAACAAACACTTGAGAGATTTCGGGAAGTTTCAATAAACATCGGAGTGTGTGTATGCATACTTACATACATAGCTGCATACATGCATACATACATACATACATACATACATACATACATACATACATACATTGTTTGTTCCACATATACACACGCACACATGAGCAAGTCTTTATAGTTTTGGAGTTCGATCACGGCGGTCTCCAAGAGCTAGATGGCTCGGCTGTCGTGAAGCTCTCCCAAGCCCTAAACCCTAAACCATGAGTTCGGTGAGTGCCAACTCGCTGAGCAGCCCCGAGAAGTGTAGACGGACACAGAGACCTGGTCTGGCAGAGTCCGAGTTGCGCGAGCGCAAACCATGAACTCAAATCCTAAACCTGCGACCACGAATCAGAGCCCCAATGCCATTAACAGCCTCAGCAAACTCCGAAGGCAGTGCATCGGTACCGAAGGGCCCAGGACGTCGAAAGCGGCAGAAGGCCGGCCCACAACTGGCTTTGGATTCGGGGTTGAGGGGTGTTGGGTCTAGGCTGCCCGTGGCGATTCAATGTTCTAGGTTTCGACGTGGCAGACTTGGATCCACAATGGGTCCAAGTACTGATACACAATGCTATACATGATATCCCTGGGTGACCCGCATCATTGAGTGAGCCTACTTAGAGGCCCAGAGGACTCAATAAGTGAGTTATAAGTAACCTAAATGGAGTTACCCTAATCATAGCCCTACTTATAACCTACTTACTAAGTCCCCTAGGCCTCTAAGTAAGCCTAAGCCTGAATCCTGCCTTTCCTGCTTTCTCCGAAAGTGGTGACAGATTCCCGACCTTGCCAACCTGCCATGCGGGCTTTGTCCTTGCGAAGTGAGAGGCCAAAAAACCCTAACATAGGGGCCTTCATATCTTACACCTATAAATACAACAAGGAAGCCCAAAGTAGAAAGGGGTAATTACTTAGGCCCCTACCTACAGTCTCCATTGTAGTTCCTTTTTGGAGGTACTTTGTAGAATCCTTGATATATAATTGGTTAAACCAAA